TGCTCCCACACTACCAGTTTTAAGTATTTTAAAATCTCCCTGTAAGTACTCTCTTAGTGCCTTTCCCTCAGCTGTGCTTTCTTGCTTATCCCTAAGGTTTTCAGGGGTCTAAGGCTAAGGGATATTTTAGGGGTGGGGATCCAGGCTCTGTTCCCAATATGAGACACTATGGAGGACAGTGAGGAGCCACTTTCTTGATGGAAACTTTACATTTTTCTTTTTTGAGTCAAAGTCTGCCTGGCTGGTCCACAGCAGTCCTCCTGCCTAGCCTGTTGAGTGTTGAGATTACAAGCGCGTGCCACCAGGCTTTGGCTATGGTGCCTCTTGCTACCCAACTCAGCCATCAGGGCATTTATTTGCTCAGTTCCTTCCTGATGGCTGGCATACTCCCAATGGGTGAGCATGGATGTACTTGGTGGTAGAAACAGGATAAAAACAAGGCAAACTGTCTTTCTAACACATAAAGGCTGTCTGGCTATGGTTTCCTTTTTTGCTTTTTGTGGGTGAAATGACCTTTATACATTTTGCATGTGTGTGGTTGTTTGTGAAAGTTGAAGTAGTTTGGAAATTACTGTGAAACTTCTGCATGCACTTGAGTTTGGCTTTTGCTTTTTGCCCCCCCTCATCCCATACTGAAGATTAGCTGGTGTCTAAACATGCAGCCTACCATGGAGCTATACACCCTGGCCCTAGGATCAGAGTCTTTCAATGGGTCTTTTGCACAGGTCACCTATATTTTGTTTGGGATTTTGCATGGGGGATGCTATTGTGAATGAGGGCTTCTTTGCTTTCTGTCCCCTGCAACACAGAACCTTATATGTTATTTCTTAAGTGTTACTGAACATTTCTGACCAATGCCTTCCCTTGTCTGAGCCCTCAGTCTAACCAGGGAGCTGTGAGGATGGAGCAGACATGCAGACAGTGGCCAGTGGGAGTCAGAGCAGTTCACCAGATGCTGAAGCTCTAGTTGAGAGTCACCAAATGATTGCTACAAACTCGAAGGTCTTCATGTTTTGATGATAAAAGATTTATATTTATGTACATGGGTGTTTGCCTGCAAGTATGTATGTGTGTCTAGTACCCAGGAAGGTCAGAAGAGGGCCTCAGATCCCCTGGAACTGGAGTTACAGATGGTTGTGAGCCACTATGTGGGTGCTGGA